CGAGTAAAATAATAGTACTTCAAATATAAATAATTATTTCCAAACCACAATAATTACAACATACCAAATGTACATAAAGTACCAAAACCATTCTCAAAATAATTCCAAACACTCATAATCAATATTAGCATAATCAAACCAAAATAAATCCAAAAGTATTTGTACTATGAAATTCCACAAATAATTTGGTAATTCAATCCAACTCAAATTCAATCCAAATATAATGTAATCCAATAATCCAACAATTCAAATCCAATCCAGTCAAATATAATTCTCCTCAAAACCTCAATCCGAATATAATTTGTACTCTAGTAATGTCTTAAAATATAATTGTATTAAACTCCTAATACATTTGAAGGGCGGTGCTCAACATTTTATTGAGCCCGATGGTCTGTTGTTATGTACAGCCACCCCGGGACTTTTGCCGGTACCACTTCTAACCTGAGGAAACTGAACCTCTACCTTAAGTGTGCACACCCCCTGAAAGGGATTCCAAGCCCTACGGGTAGTAAGAAGCCCAAGTAGTTCGGACGTCAACGTCCCCCTACTCCACCAAAAGGGATTACCCTATAGAAGTGACTAGGTACTGCTACTACTGCCAAAATCCACCAAATATCTATCGTTCGGGATTTTTCTACCGAACGCACCAAACTCATTTATTTAAATTGTTCGGATTGGTTACCGAACCCACCAAGCAAATAGTAGATCCCTAATCACTCTCCACAGTCAAGGTCGTGGAGGACACCGACATCCCGGATTTCTCCCGTGATGCCCTTACATTGAAAGGTTCATTTTATCTTTATTATTTTCCAAAAATTCAGGGATTACTACTCACGTAATTTCCCCAAAGTTAATCATTCAACAATGCATCACATATTATACATAGATATAAATTTCCAAAATAAGGGTTAATCGATCCTTTAAACTCGAAAATTCCCAACATGATTAAAATATAGAATACTTCATAAATAGCTCAAATCTCAATCCCAATAATGATTCATACATAACTTCAAATACTCAAAAATATCACACAATATTCAATACTCAAATCTCAAATATAATCCCCAATAACAATCCATAAATAATTCTAAATACTAAAATACGAAGTATAAATGTAAATGCTAGAAATCTCATAAAGTAGTCAAATAATTTCAAATAAATAATCATATATAGATTTACGAGGAAAAGTATAATTTTGGTTGATGTAGAACTTACCTCAAATCGTGATAACTCCTAACCGAAGCTTCGATCTTCTCCAAGTTTCACCTTCTAAGAATATTAAAATTCTAAAATTAATAATTATTCCATTTTTTTTCTAATTCCTGATTAATCACTTTTATTTGCTTAATCCGTAATACTTAATCCATCAATAATACAATTCACACATTCGGCCCAGTTAGAATAAACTTAGTCCATCGACACAAAGGAGTGCAGACTACTTACGTACGTACATCGTTCTTCTTCGCAATACAGTACCGGCGACGAAGGGCGATACTTCAGCGGCGAACTCTCGGCGTCCTCCTTGCACGGCAAAGCTGCTAAGTGATGGATGGTGGTATGGTAGCGACAATTATCGTTCTCCGTCGGCATCGTTCCAATTTCCAAAGGTCCGGCCACCCGTAGCGGCGGAGTCTTCTTCTTCTAGAGATAAGGGGTGTTCGCCCCAGTACAGTCTTGTACGCAGGTCGGCAGTCCGGCGTGGCGGCGTACCACTGGGTCTTCTTCTCCAGCGAGTTTCCCGCCTTCTCTGACGTCCTCTCTTCTCTGTCGTTCTTTGGCGAAGGAGATGCAATCGTTTAGCAACTCATCCTGGTTGTTGTTCGCACGGTTAAGGAGTCGTGTATTCGTATGTAGGTTATCTTTTGGATGCAGGCGGCTAGTCGAGCGAATGTATGTATATACGGAATATAAATGCAGCTGATGGTTCTAGGGTTTTCGGTTTTATTCGTCGCCGATGGTTCTGGATGATACGTTATAAATAAAAGTTTAGAAATCTTTTGCCTTTAATACGAACGTGCGTAGTAGGAAAGTCACTCTTTGTCTCGGGGTGTAAGCGTTATACGTACACACATATTATTATATATATAATATGGACTAATTAGTTTACCTTGGTTACCTAGAAGGTTAGCTAGGAAAAATCAAACGTTCCTTATATTTATAATAGTACGTATGTGCTTGCGTCTAGGGTATTAATTATATACCTAGTATTACGTAGTACTATGGAGTAAATATATACTTCGTATATGTGAATAATGTGTAGGGTGGGTAATTTGGTGTATCACATATATTAAGTGTAAATTTTTCTAAAATGTACACATTTAACGACATTAGTTAATATACCATTCTTTTGGTATTTGAGTCAAAAGAATTACTTGATCAAAATTTGTAAATTATATTTACATTTTTGGAGTGTCACATTCTACCCCCCTTAACTACCTCCGGTCCTACGGGGCCGAGGTGTTACACAAATATAAAATAAACCTAAAATACTAATAAGCCCTCAACTGACTAAGGGTCTGTTTGCAACAGCTTCTGCTTTTAAAAAAGTGTTTTTTTTAATGAAATGAGGAAAAGTGATTAAATAAAAGTTGATAGTGTTTGAGAAAAAAGTGATTTTGAAAAGTAAAAGTGGGTAGTGTTTGGTAAAATAAGTGCTTTTTGTGTAATAGAAAAAGTAAAAGCACTTTTGACGCGGAAGCCGAGAAAAATAAAAGTTGTAGTGTTTGAGAAAATAAGTGCTTTTTTAAAGCCAAAAGCTGAGAAGTGCTTTTTTAAAAGCAGTTGCAAACCAACCCTAATCTAATTGAGATGAAAGACACGGATGATCAATTAAAATAAAGGGCTAGGATTAAGTTTGTAGGTTAACATATTAAGATGAGTTTGCATTGAACTCTTATATATATATATATATATATATATATATATATATATATATATATATATAGATAAGAGATCACATACTAACCATGCTTAAAATACTAACTTACTAACTCAATAATATGCAACACATTGAACTTCAATATGCAGTACAAATAATGTAAAGATGCACACTGTGAATTTCAATATGCAATAAAAACAATATGCAAAACTTTGAACTTTAATATGCAGTACAAATAATATGCAACACTTTGAACTTCAATATGCAGTACAAATAATGTAAAGATGCACCGTTTTTGATAGTTAGTAGGTTAGTATGGGAGGAATGGTTAGTATGTGATCTCACCCCTATATATATATATATATATATATATATATATATATATATATATATATATATATATATATATATAGAGAGTAGTCTTCCGGTCAGGTATACCTGACCGGAGCCCCGTCCGACCTCCTCCATTTGGGGGCCTTCCTGGTGGTATTTTTTGCTCAAATTTTTTGTGTAGGTTCCTCATCAAGTCTAGTTCATCCATACCAAATTTCAGCCAAAAATTCAATCGGGAAGGTCGTCAAATGATTTTTGCAAGTTAACTGGTCCGGAAAATACATATTCCGGACCAGTTAACTTGCAAAAATCATTTGACAACCTTCCCGATTGAATTTTTTTCTGAAATTTGGTATGGATGAACTAGACTTGATGAGGAACCTACACAAAAAATTTGAGCAAAAAATACCATCGGGAAGGCCCCCAAATGGAGGAGGCCGGACGGAGGGAGTGGTCCGGCCTGGCCGGACCTGAACTTTAGTGTATATATATATATATATATATATATATATATATATATATATATATATATATATATATATATATATATATATATATATATATATATATATATATATATATATATATGTTGTGGATCAAATGTGAACCATGCTTAACGTGAGAACGCGAGAACTCCACTTTAAAACAAACCTGATGCACTATAACATTTATACCTTGCACATTTTGGTGTTGTTAATTTACAAATCGGCCGTCACATTTATTTGATGTTGGCATATTTTTACCAAAGTTTAAAAAGTGTAATAAATAAGCCTCATCGTGCATCAAGTTGTGATAAAAGTGCATGGTTCTCACGTTCTCACGTTAAGCATGGTTCTCATTGGAACCGCTCCCTATATATATATATATAGGGAGCGGTTCCGGTGAGATAGGGGTCTTAGGAGAGTAAAAAAGAATAAAATCTAACCCTCCAATGTATGAAATCAAAGACCAAGATCGATTGTAATTAGTGGTGATTAATACAAACTTTAAATGGCAATTCTAACATCAATTGGAATGGTCATAGTATAAAGGATAAAATTGTAAAAACTCTTATGAATTAATCACGTTAGTAAGGTTAGTTAATGCACCACTACTCAAATTTCCATATATTTCGGGCTACGTATTGTTAAGTGAATAAATCCTAAAATTTTGGGCTACGTATTGTTTTCCATTAATAGATGATTTTTTTGGATTTTCATAGTATTTTCCACTATTAAAATATTTTAAATATTAACTTAAATTAGTTTCCTTTCAAAAAAAATTAAATTAGTTAATTTTGAAAGTGCACTTTTACTCAAATCAAGTTGCATTCTGAAGTCATGAAGGTAACATTTGATCTCAATTTAAAAATACAAAAATACTAACATGCACTTTAAAATAATGCACATTTTTATAGAATCTTTGAAATAACATATGTGTCTTCGAGTGCTTTAAAAATTTATTAGTTGTACAGATTTTTTTTAGTGATTGTGCAAAATTCAATAAGTATATGTGCATTATTATAAAGAGCATATCAATTAATCTAAGTTCATTTAAATATTTACACATGTTTGGTTTAGAAGTGCATTTATGATAATCTAATGTGCATTTTGTTCATCTTCCTAGACATAGTACTTCATCCATCTAATTTTGTATATTTGCACTCTGACATTGAATAAATGCACTTTTATTCGGAATATTATGCAACATCAATTTAGTTAAGTATTTGGATATTTTTCAATTTCAAGAGAAATGAGATGTTTATTGAGTTAATATGCATCGATATAATTGAGATTGCATGTTTTTGGTTTGGACTTTTGAATCTACACTCTACACATGTTGTGCACATCCATACATGTTTTAAAAATGGATATAAATATTCAGGCGTAAATTTTAGACATATACAAAAATGCATTATTATATTACGCTTCATGCATAACTATATTGCCACTCTTTTACAAAATAAAATGCACTTTTATCATGTGCATACCAAATTTATAAAAATTGCACTACTATATATTACACTTTCTAAACTTCCATATCCGCACTTTTATCATTATAACTGCACTTTTCTTCCAAAAGCATCATACTTGTTCCACATTATACGATGCTGCCTTCTGATTTCACCTGTATTTGCAAAAAAAAAAAGTAAAATTAAAAACTAATTAATGAAAAGTGCAAGAACAATAAGCTTAGTGCATAAAATTTTAATTGAAAATTTACTTTTATTATCTAAAAATTGATGGCTATCATATATGTATTTCACACATGTAAAATGCATTACATGACAATGTAGATGCACTAATTATTGGTGCAAATCCACAAATAAAAAAATTATATTAGTGCAAACTACAAACCTAAACATTGTGCAACAACAATAAGTAAACGTGCAACAAGAAACATTTATTATTGCATCGAATTCAACAACTAGCATTTTAAATATCCCTGAAATCATCAAATGTAAAACCAGATCAATATAAAATTAGAATAACGATGGACCATTACCAAGCACTGAAATCTGCCAGAACATCAATACATAAGAATGAATCATAAGAAAAGTTGATTAACCAAGAATTTGATGCATAGGAAGAGTAAATATATATAATTATTTTTAAAGCAAATCACAAACTAGATTAAACAGCAAACGAAGATTGCAGAAAAATGAGGGAGAGGGAGACAATAGACAGTTCGGCGCTGTGCTCTCTTGCAACTAGCGTTCGGCCATCATGTTGTGGACTTTCTTCTCCAACCTCCTTGCTTCGTGCCACATCTTCCTTTCCGATTTTCAGATAATAAGTTTCTGGAATCTGTTTAAAGTAGGTATTATGTTTTGATTCGTAAAACAGGAACACGATCGGTCTGGTAGAGATTTCAATGGAACCATGAAGGAGAGAAGCAATGCGCAAGGGAAACACGTTAGGAAAGAATGGCGGAAAACAGTTAAGGAAAGAATAATCAAACGAGATTGTAGGAAACAGTAGAATTAGAAGTGACGTGAATACCCTTAATGCAAGTTAATGACACGATCAAATTAGAAGTGAATCCAATGGTTGATATCTATTATTTTTTACTCTTCTAAGATTAAGTTCTCACATAAACCTAAATCTATACACACACACACACATATACATGTGTGTGTGTGTGTGTGTATATATATATATACACACACACACAAAACCTATATAGGGAGCGGTTCCGGTAAGAACAGATCTTAGGAGAAAAATGAGAACGAATCTGGACCGTTGGATTGTATTATGTGGAACCAAATTGTGCATTTGGTGAAACTGAAATGTGCATTAAATGATATTGAAATGTGCAAAATAAAAATTTAAACTCAAGTGTGCATTAGATGAAACCAATATGTGCGGGGGAAAAGTACAAAAATAACATCACATCGTACTTTTTATTCTGCACATTTCAGCTTCACCTAATGCACATTTCAATTTCACGTAATGCACAATTCAACTGCACATAATGTCACTCTATCGTACCCTTTGTAATGCACTTTTCAATTTCACCTAATGCACATTATAGTATCATCCAATGCACACTGAATCTCACTTGAAGCAAATCTAACGGTCCTGATTCGTTCTTATTTCTCTCATAAGATCGTGTTCTTATTTGAACCAAAACCTATATATATATATATATATATATATATGTATGTATATATGTATGTATGTGTGTGTGTGTGTGTGTATATATATATATATACGTGAGAACATAACAATAGAAAGAATTATCATTTCCGCTACAGGGAATCGGGATGTTAAAGAGCTTCAACAAGTTGTACTTTCAACGCAATTATGCTTCTGGAGTGTAACTGCAATCTATCCAACATGGCAACAATCAGGATAAAAACTGCAAGGCGCTGGTGTCTAATCCCCAAAATTAACCAGCAAAGGCACTCAGAGAGTCAGATTACTAATATTATACACTCTGTTCTAAAAATCGTTCTAGGCGCCCGACTAGCCCCGCCTAGGCGCTAGGCGGTGGTCGGGCGCCCCGAATTTTTGATTAGGCGCTACGACTAATTGGTCGGCCGCCTATGGCGCCTAGTTGCCCGCCTAGAGCGCCTAATCGGTCGCCTAGGCCGTCTAGATTCGCCGAACATTATATTACTTCACTTTTAATTTTAATTTTCTAAGCGATATATATATATATATAGGGAGCGGATCGGGTGAGAAGTGCTCTTAGGCTGAGAACTGCGAAGTTAAACTTATAGACTAAATATAGGAACTTTTAACCAATAAATCATTACTTATAAACCCCTCGAAAATAATTACAAAAATGCCACCGCAAAAAAGTAATTACGGAAACCTGGAATTTTTTTTGACGCGGTGGCATTTTCGTAATTATTACGGAGAGCTTTATAAGTTATGATTTATTGGTTATAAGTTCATATATTTACTCTATAAGTTTACTGCGTTGTAAAATCAGATGCAGATCTAAGGGCTGAGATTACTTCTCACTTCTCATTTTAAGGGGCACTTCTCACCTGATCTTTTCCCTATATATATATATATATATATATTCTGGTTCAAATGAGAACGAGTCTTAACGTGAGAACGTGAGAACAAATCTTAGCCATCCAAAATAAGTATCCATGACCGATCAAATAAATGGTATGGGAGGACATTTACGTCTTCCTCTATGGGATGAGCGATCTTTCAAATGTGTACAATCACCAACCATACCGTCAGATGCACTAAATCACCTCGACAATGCACATTTCTATAAAATTCCAGAAAGCTATTTGTGCTTTTACCTATCTATTTCGAAATGCACAAGTCATCGATACTATCACACAACTATACCTACACTCTGAATTTGTGAATTCCCTAATTCAATACACACTCGTATGCCATCTGCATATATGTAATCTTTACCACTTCTAGTCACTTAATTTCAACTAATTAAAACACATTAACCTAGTCCATTGAAGTGCACAAATTTAGTCGTGAAAACTCTAGAACATAGCTTCTTCATTAGTAGACCTTTGCATTATCATCATTATGTGTTCTTCTGGTAGAAAACTTATTTCCGCTGATCACATGCACAATTCTTTCCCCTTTCTGCACTTCAATCTCTATTTAGTTCACGCCGGGTTATCTATTGTCTATATCCTTAAATTAACCTTTTCTTTCCATATTTCTTCCGAATTAATTTCGTCAGTCTCCCAACTTCTCCGTATCTCTTGCGTTACTATGGCGATTTTTTGGGAATCGGAAACCGTTAGACGCCACCCACAAAAGGTATGGGTTTTTTAAATGACCAGTGCACCCTTTTTTACATTGCACGTTCCGTTTTTCAATTATTAAGGTGAAGCTATTGTGCAATGACGTGCATGGTAATATTGTGCACCAATTCGTTATTAACCACTCATCTAATAAGATGGTTGGCTATCATTTGTTCTCACTTCTCACAATAGGGGGTGTTCTCATTAGAACCACTCCCTATATATATATATACATATAGAGTCCCGTTCTTGTCCAGCCGGCCTGACGGGATGCTCCGTCCGGCCGAGCGCATTTCGGGCACTTCCCGGTGGAATTTTTTGATGAAATTTTTTGAGCATGTTCTTCATGAAGTCTAGTTTATCCATACCAAATTTCAGCTAAAAATTCAATCGGGAAGACACTCAAATAATTTCTTGAAGTTAACTGGGCAGTTTATATGTATGAACTGCCCAGTTAACTTCAAGAAATTGTTTGAGTGCCTTCCCGATTGAATTTTTAGCTGAAATTTGGTATGAATAAACTAGACTTCATGAAGAACATGCTCAAAAAATTCATCAAAAAATTCCACCGGGAAGTGCCCGAAATGCCCTCGGCCGGACGGCGGTTCCCGTCAGGCCGGCTGGACTTTGACTTTAGCCATGGATATAAAGAAATGAAGTTGTAAATTAAGATAAAACTATATATGTTTGTATATATACCTAAATTTTATCATTATTTATATTTATAACATAATGAAGTTAAGTGATTAGTTATCATATACTATGTATGATTAAATTTGATAATTCTATCATTCATATTTGATAATGTATACGTATATATGTATTTTATACACACAAAAATACAATATTACTTATCATATTTATGCAAATATATAGATAAAAATGCAATTTCTATGTCTCCGACTAGTCCCCGACTAGGCGCCCGCCTAGCTGCCTAGGCGCTAGGCACTGGGTTGACGCTCGACTAGCGCCTAGCGCTTTTTAGAACATTGATTATACATATTACTAATGTTAGTAGTCTTGTTGGCCATAATAGGGAGGAAACTTTACTTTAATCAATCATCAACTACAGTGTGGTACTTGCAAGTTCGAAGACGAAAAATATACCAGAAGCCCCATAATGTACAAAGCAGTTTGACATCAACAACAACCTGCTCACTCTGATCTAGAAAACTTCCTAACTTGCCAATCCAGGTCATCCCTTCACCAAAAGAAAACTTGGCTCACCATCATCATCATTACCCTAGTGTCGCAAAGGCTCCCACCTATGGTGGGGGTGGGGGGGTCGGATGTACACAGTCATAACCCTGTACTACAAGCACATAGAGACTGTTTCCAGATGACCCAGAGTGAAAATTGCGTCCAAAATTGCATGGACTGAGTGTTGCTACATAACAATGAAGCACGAAAAGTTTAGCGAGCCATTTTACTTTATTTCATCATATTCTCAAGCCAAAAATAGCGAGTCTTTGACTCCATTGCAAATGATGGGGAAAAAAAGAAAACTTGGCTAATGGTAAAAAATCAGGGAAGTTCATTAAAATCCACAGCCCCCATTATTAGTGGGAAAAAGTCCTCGCTCGCCAGTCACTAATGACCCGGTGGTGTAGTTTCAGACTTCCAGTCTCTATCTCTCTTCTCTACCAAATAGGAGACCTGGATCAAGCCCCCACCCCATGTAATGTACTCCCTCTGTCCCATTTATTTTGTCCCGTTTTACCTTTTCGGGAAGTCCCACTTATATTGTCCCATACCATATTTGGCAAAGTTTGTGTGGTTCTAAATCATTCTTACTTTATTCTTACTTTATCAATTAATATCAACCACACAAACCCACTTTTCTTAATAACCGTGTCACTCTCTTCCGGGACAATATAAATGGGACGGA